GATGAAGATGAAGATGAAGATGAAGATGAAGATGAAGATGAAGATGAAGATGAAGATGAAGATGAAGATGAAGATGAAGATGAAGATGAAGATGAGATGAAGATGAAGATATATCGATGAAGATGTGGATGTAGATGTAGATTTAGATGAAGATGAAGATGAAGATGAAGATGAAGATGAAGATGAAGATGAAGATGAAGATGAAGATGAAGATGAAGATGAAGATGAAGATGAAGATGTAGATATAGATGAAGATATATCGATGAAGATGTGGATGTAGATGTAGATTTAAATGTAGATATAGATGTGCATGTAGATGTAGATGTAAATGTTAATGAAGATGTAGATGTAGATGCTGATGTAGATGTAGATGTAGATGCAGATGTAAATGTGGATGTAGATGTGGATGTGGATGCGAATATAGAAGTAGACGTAGATGTAGGTGTAGATATAAATTCAGATGTATATCTGTAGACATCTACTTTAAACTAATCGTAGCCATAAAACATTAAATTTTCGCCGAATCGATTGAAACAGAAAGAATATATAAGAAGTATACGTTTGAATATTCAGACTGAGCGCGGAAGAACAATGAAAATGCAATTGTCTTGAATTATTTTTAATACATAGAAAAGCAGAACACAACGATAATGATATAGAAAGCGACATATTGTTTCAATAAAATTGCATATCGCTAAAAAAACACAAGAAAACCACAATTTCAAGTTTTGAGATCACAACATATTCCAAAAATATCCTGAGAATTCAATATATTTAGAGTGAATGTTTTGATTTCTATATTGTAGCATAAAATGTAAGAGTTTTTGAGATGATTCATTTGAAAAGTATTTTCATTGTTCATTTCAAAAATTTGCTATAGAAATATAAAATCATTTGATTGACAGCACATTCGAAACTGGATTTTTGAGTGTTTATTTATATGGAGAAGAGCATCTCAACATAGTGAAGATTCAGAATCTCCACTCAATAGCAGAAAACTTTGGTAAAAAAATTGTATGATTTAAAATAAATGTGTTTCAGGAAATTTATTGTATATGGAAAATGATGAAAATAAGGAATTGGTTCCCTTTGGCTTTTCCATTCTGTAGACAAAGATGCCTCCGTCTTCAGAACTGGACAAAATTTGAGTTCATATGCAGTTTTTCCTATACTGAACCGTTTCATTTCTCAACTTCTTCGACAGATATCACAGTCAATTTGAATTTTGTCCAATTCTCAAGACAAAGGCAGATTTTACTCTTCAAAACGTTTAGGTTATGGATGGAAGGTTGATAAAAACTGATATTCCTCAACAAACTTCATCTGTCAGTCACTCATAATTTTTTAAATTTTTCTACTTTGTCGTATCCTCTAACAAATCATTGATTGACATTTCTTTTATACAGTGAATTAATATCTGTTCGAAATTGGCATTGCTTCATCGAAATATCGATCTACTTTTCACACAGAAAATGAAAAATCCAATTTCGCTAAGTGACTTGCTGAGAATTATTTACGATGTACGTTCATGAACTCTTACATAAATTCAGTTATATCTACTCGGCGAAATTGTTTTGAGATAATTGTTTCTGGAAAATTGAATTAGAGAGGACGTTTTATATAACAGTTTGTTATCGTGAAGTGATGGAGAACTTTTCTTTCTAGATGTGATAAGATGAAAAAAGCCAATTGGTTGGCTTCATTAGGAAATAAAGTTTTATAGCTTTTCAGTACCAAAAATTGTGAAACAATATATTTCAATCACTCTACACGATATAAATGAAGTGCTTCCGAAACTTTGAAACTAATGCCCAGGAATTAATCTAACTATAACTGTGAGAAACACGCATTCAGCTTGTTTCACGTGTTTAAACTTTATTTATCTCTCCTATTCGACATATTTCTCCAATGACATTGAAAATTTCCCCTCACGGAAGGTCTCAGTTCTATTTTCTGTAATGGAAACATTCGGGCTAAATATAGCAATTGATAAATGCTCTGATTACCAAGTCAACCCACAAGAATTCACGTATTAGATTGTTTTATTGTATTGATTGGGTTTGTTTCTCTGTTACTTTGCAAGCGAAAAGCAAGCTGAAGATGATATAACTTTTCGAAATGGGTTAAAACTTTGCGTCAAATCAGTTTCAAGAATCTAAAATGATATTTAGTTTAGCTGGATAATAACAGAATTTTCGGTGTGAATCAAACGTTAAGACGTTGCTCTACTGAAAAATTTACCGTTTTCCTAACGAGCGGAAGATACACGGTTCAACACAAACAAAATTGTACTCCTTCTGAGCAAGCTAGTGTCATCCAACCGGCTGAAATGCGAAGGGAAATGTCAGGCGACTCGACAGTATGAAATTTGACTTTGAAGTTTGCGCCTATTGCTTCACAAAAATCCAGTTGTACCATTTTTCAGTCACACCTCATACTTCACTCGAAAGTTATCCTATTTCTCTCTAAGAATAATTTCAAAAGTGGTTTACTCGTTACCTTTTAACGTGAGATTCCTAATTGGGTTGGACGATAGCGAGTGAAAATCGATCGTTCGGCCTGCGGCTCGAACCATCGACTCACACATCGGCCGATTGACTGAGTGAACAAAGCACCCACGTCGAACCGCCCGGCTTGGTATTTCTTCATCTTCTCAAGTTTTTTTTCTACATAATTTCAAAGAATTCGCAACCCATTCTTTACTTTCTCCGCAATGCACAATGATTAGTCGCGATCCTTTGTTTACAGGCATGTTAAGCGTACACATTACCGAACCGTCAGTCCACCCTTTCGTAAGTGTGTCGTGAGTGTCATACCAAATAGAAAATTTGTTCTAAGTATTTGTTACGCAATTCCACTATTATTCTGGTTTCTATAACTGCTTGATGTTTGTTTATTATTTTAAATCTAAATCCCAGTTTCTTTATCCAATTCTGAAGAGTTTTGTCACAGCAGCTCACGTTATGGCCGTAAGTATTGAATTTCTTCCGAATGATTTCAGTTGTAGGAATCTCATTGCTTTTGTAACAGTCGTACCTTTATTGTTTTTTCAATGATTTTATTAGAAGAACATCTAAAGGTTTTGGTAATCCCGTATCACATCGCGTCTTGTAATCATAAGGTTTGTTTTTGACTATTTTACGTACAGTTGAGAAAAGAATTATGGTCAAATCTGATGTTGTTTGTAATAGTTTGTTTCTTTCGGAACCAAACTTGAGATGTAGATTCTCATAAACATTGAAACATACTTTCTTTTTCGCATTGTTCACCATCGCTATTGGAATAACTTCACTGAAAAAAGTCTGCGTTGTTATCACACTCGTTATTACTATTAGCACTTATCCAAGGAAGTCACATTTTGAACGGCTAATAGAAATTTCAAGTAATTATAACCGCACCAATATTGAATTTCAACACTCAAATCACGATCAGTTCTTAAACTGAACACGACGGCGATAACCATCTCCGCATTCTCGATTTCTTCATTAACATAAAGAAATTAAGGAAAAAAAAAATAATAGGTTTAGAACCATATAGTGTTAGTGACTATTTGGACCAAACCCAATTATAAAAATGTATATATTTAGGACTGTATTTAGTCTTTTTCATTTTTTTCTTGACATTATTCCATTCTATGTTGTCTATGTAAAAGCTGTAATAGTCGGCATATTTTTGAAATAAAGATTATTATTTTTTTTTCAACGTGGTGTGCGCTGGTCAGGCCCTATCCCCCGAAGCCTCGATACATTCGGGAGGGCGTGCCAGCGTTATCAACCAATGACCACTCCCCACACCGTGGGGTAAGTGATCATTGGGTCCGAGAACCATATGCCCTGAGCAAGCGCAGTGAGCCGAGAATGACAGCCTTCTGCATCTGTACGGCTAGTATTTCTGCCTTAGTGCGGCAAGCCGGTATGATTTTAAGATTCGAGAGTGGAGAGGACACCATTCCACCAAAGACTCCATTAATCAGAACAACCGTCTTGACAGAGTGATCTATATAGAGTTTGCGGAGTTCGAAGAGAAAATCTCTATATTTCGTCCGTTTTTCCTCCTCTTTTCTGACGATTTTTGTCTCGCCAGGAGCTGAAAACTCGACTACAAATATCGTTTTGTTCTGGTGGTCGAGAAGGACTACATCAGGCTTATTAAGTTGTAGGAGCCTGAGGGTGGGGAACGAATAGTTCCAATAAATTGGGCACTTCTATTTCCCCACAACGAATTGAATATCCCCAGGAGCGTAGGGCAACACCGGTGTCTCGTCAATACCGTAAGAGTGTATTATTATTATTGTGAAACTCGGTTAGTAAAAATCATCCAACACGAACCGCCAAGTCTACAGTCCACGTGGACTGGTTCGCTGCCGATTCATTTCTATGTATTGATTTTTTTTACTTCGAGAGCGACAACTTTAAGAGTGCACAATATCGTTTACTTCGACTAAAGAAAGTACGAATATTTTGAAAGAATTGTACTTAAGTGAAAGGGTATTAAATGAAGTTATTGTGAGCTGACATAGGAATCATTCGAAAGGGTTGAACGATAATATACAAACGACAAATATGATATAAAAAGAAGCGATAGCAAAAAAGTAAACCAAATAAAAAAACATTTCAAACCAAGCTACTTCTCTTCGGGTGGAAGCTGGACCAATCACTGTTAATTGCTTTTCAATGGTCCCGAAAATGAAGCATTCCTGAAACACAGTACCGTTTCCCAATCTTCTTTCTGCTTTTTCGCTAGTTTATTGATTTTTCACTTACTGTGTTCTCGTGATGCATTGTTTGGAACTTTTGGTTTAGGGTTAGGTTAGGCGTGTCTTTACTCACGCCCGAAGAAGCGCCATTGTATGACGAAACACGTGTTGCGTTTTTGTAAAACTGTTCAGCAAAAAAAGTGTTTTTTTAATACGTCATTTTTCGCGACAATTTCCATTTGACTAGCTACTAACTAAAATTAATTGATTAAAATCCCTGTATTATTAAGTATTTTCTTTTCAGATAACACCAAACTAAACCAGCCCAACCCTCCGAAACTACCAAAGCACAACCACGTCAAACCTGCCAGACCGAGCATATCATTCTAACCTCAACGCCACCACAAATCACGTCCTCATCAATGAATCCATGGATGCTTTCTTCCTCAACCAAAGCCATCTGGCCTTCTACAGTACAAACCACGCGGACTTCTCGACTGACAACGTTTCGGACTCGGACGTCAATATCACTAGGTCTTTCCCCAGGTTAAGTTCGCCTCTGGCAGTGACCATAGCAGTATTACTAGTGTTCCTTTTCTCGCCGATGATCCTCATAGGGAACTCGCTCTTCCTGGTGGCGATGTACCGGTTCAAAAGATTGCGCACGCCCAGTAACTACCTCTTCATGTCGCTGGCGACGTCGGATTTGGGCATCGGGATGTTCATGCCCATCGGGATGTACTTGGAGCTCGGAGGCACCCAGAACTTCACCAGCATCCGGATCTGCTTGTTCAGCTACGGTGTCGCCATCTCGTTGTGTTGTGTGTCAGTGTTAGTGATGGTGGCCATAGCGGTGGACAGATTCACGTCTCTAGCGAGGCCGCTGCGGTACAATAATCTGATCACTCATTCTGCCGTGGAGAGGTACATCTTGGTGTTTTGGGCTTACTCTTCATTGGTAGGATTCACGCCCTTGGGGTACTCCGTTTTGAATCATTTGGATCAGCGGTGAGTACCCAATCATTTTTGTGTTCTACTGTCAGACTACCGAAAATAACGAAATTGAAAATGGTGTTGCTACAAATTGGCCAATTATATAATACTAATCACTATTCCGACTTCCACCCGAGAGTATATGTTTGTGGAATTGTTTCCTGGCCTTGTCTGCAGGTGGCGCAGTTGATATTCCACTGAATCAACTGCAGAAAGAGTTCATAACTGGCTGGAATTATATTTGTTTGATCGTGATATTCAGGCGGTTCACACCGTTCTGAAGAGACCATGCCCGGTACTGATGATGGGGCATGTTACCCGAAACCGGTCTATCGGTTGGTCCTATCGACCAAATAAAATTGGTTTCTGTTTTTCATAGTGGGAAATAACTCGCGACCTATCTTCCAGATCGAAAACGTTGCACAGGTGCCTGATGGTTTTACTTCAACTCTCTGCGCAATACTAGCTGGATTAGTTGTTGTTTTTTCGTCGGGTATCTGCCACACGTACATACGAAGTCGTAGGTCGGTGATTTACACTTCTTCAGCAAATATTTTTAGGTGAAAAGTATTAGGCAAGTTCCGAACACATAATATTTTACACGTCATTCAATACTATGATACAGAACCAGAATGGGAAGTGGGTGAATGAGGAACATAAATAACGTACTATTCAATGGGCACTTTCAATTTAGAGGATACCTGAATAAAATAGTATGATGGAGATCCTCTTTCATGCGATTGTGGGGCAATGAATCACAAAACGCGTGCAATTCATAGAATTCAACACTCAAGTGGCGAAATAATGGTTCAGTATCTAATAAGTCAGTATCAAAAGTCAAGTTGAAATCACCAAAGCGAATTTGATATTCGCTTTGGTGATTTCAACTTGACTTTCACATTCCTCTGTTAGTTTTCAATTTCTTTACTTTTGTGTAAACGAATAAATGAATGAAACATTAATATTCAAATGTAGGCGAGTTCGGTTCACTATGGTAGTGATAAAATATTTTCCCCACAATTGACGTTCAATATTTGAAACCCAGATGTCGCTCAGACTGTGGTTTATCCAAATTCCAGAAATAGGACACATAATCTAGCGATGGGGGCGCTATTACGTTCATCAAATGGTGACATCGAATTTCAAATAGCCGATTCGTGTAGCTGCGTATTGTTTTGGACTTCAATACATTCTCAATGGTGGATTCGTGATAGTGCTGTTCACAGTGTTATTATTATATATTATCGAACTGATCATAACATTAAATACTTTCGTAAACGTGACAGATGACAAGACTTCGATTTTGTTTTACCGTTTGACTCAGTTCTGGTATTTTCTAAAATTCAAGAATGAATTCCTCCAACCAATGGTGCCAATACATATGATATGCGGTATAAGTTTGTGGAGATCAAATCGTGAGATGTAGTTTTTGAAATTACTATGGATATTCATCAAGTAACGGCTGAATAAATCAGAAAAAACGTAGTTTGTAAGTTGTTCGATTCAAACAAAAATAACGTAATTAGACTATACTGACCGATGATTTTCGATATGAAAGGAATAACCTGATACTAGGGCATTTTTATACTATTGCGTCTTCTCCATTCTGCCATAGTTTCAGTATCATTTGAAGATTCCTCACCGATATTCGTTACTTACAGATATAAGTGCAGCGTATTGATTGAAACAAATTGAAGGCCAGCTGTACAAAGCTTAGTAATTAAGGTTCAGCATTACTACGGGCTCAAAACTCGAATATAAATGCTACAGTTGATTGTTTTTGACATGCTTTTAGCGTTGCTCTACTTGAAAACATATCAAAGACCTACAGTTTTTAGGACAACTATAGTTACTTCAAGATTTTTTTGAGATTGTGTAGGGACATCGAGACTGATCTGGAAATGCCGTTAATGATTGACAAAACCGGCAGACAGGAATAGATTGACTATTGGTATACTGTGTGTTAAGATACACAGGCATCGCAGGTAACAAAAAATTCGATGTGTGAACCAGACACCGATTATTTGTCAACTCCATATATGGGCCCAGAACTAGCTGTGGGATTATTGAATGTCTTTGGTACGGAACCAGCTTAGAAATTGGGTATACGAGAAAGAGAGAGTGCTAGAAATATATACCAGGGAACACACATGGGAAAATCTTTATAAACGGACCGTCCAAGAAGAGAAATGCTATAACAAAGCAGGGCTCGGCTTGGGACAATTACAGGGTAACTCAATATAATAAAATAGGCCTGTACAACGGATACCTTCGCTGGGAATGTGTGGAGCTGGATGGTCAGCCAGGAACCTGAACTAACTAGTACAGGGTACAACTGAACAACTCGCAAATATAATATAGCCTACCTACTAATGCAATTCAATTTTAATGATTTGATTTGTGATGCACGACTTTCGTTCCCTACTGGAAGCGCTATTTACAACCCCAGATTAATTGAAATACTTCGTCGGCGGATGCAAATCCGATAAGCCGTCTCCATTGACGCCTCACTGGTACTGTTCTAATTCTGTTTGACATCGACTATAATTCCTCGGAGCCGAAGTGTGACAAAATTTAATCAGTCGTCTTCTGTGTTCCAACGCCGTACGTGTGGAGCGGACATCAATACGGGAAATGGTGGATTGCTTCCATAATATATCCCGGAACCGAGCCATGTCGTACAACGAATGTAAATAAGGAAGAGTGAGATTCGGAACGGAAGCGAATGGGGAGGAAAAGGCTAATAGACGGAGTGAGGGAGGAAAGTGGGGAAATAGTCTGGTAGAGTTATACTATGAATATTGCAACTGTTAATTTTTAAAGTACTGTTTTCGATGGTTCTTTTTTTGAAAATGTCAAATTTCAAAAATGGAGTTGAGTTAGATCCTTTAAACTATCGCCAAATTAGTTCAACTTGCATTCCTTGCAAATGTATGGAAAAAATGATGACTGGGGAACTGACAATTTTTTTTCATAAACTGGAGAATTTAAGAAACAGCAACATGGATTAGTCTTGAAAACTTGACGGGAATCGATGTTATCGATCTTGACTTTAGTAAAGAATTTCTCAGATTCTAGAAGGTTAGGTTAGGTTAGGTAAGTGGTGGGTCTATTCGAGCCTCCATCGCAACCCGCAAAGGTTTATTGTGGCTTACACCTTTTTTCGAGTGCGGCTCTTCCGAACTCTACCTGATTCGGTCCTCTGCGGGGCAGGCTGTTTCATCGCTAATGAGGCTGTCGGATAGTCAAGGTGCAAGATTCCCACCTTGATACAACCTTTCCACATGAGGGTTTTTGCACGTCAGCTATACCTGACGATGCTTTAGATTCAACCGTACAGGGCTTTTTCGCCTCTGGTTTTGGTGAGTCATGACTTGAATGCAAACGTTTGCTAACCTGCTCATGGGGGGGTTTGTTGCTCCACCTGAGATGAATTCTGCGTACACCGCTCAAGAATTTGGTGCAAGGCGGTTTTATAAGCTACCTCGCTCTCTTGGAGACGACTCAGTCATCTCCTGGGTGCTTCACCAAACCTTTTCTTTAGATTCAATTATTGGATCAGGAGTTGGGGAGTTGAGAAGCTCTCGCTCCTGAACTGAATCCACAGGAAGATCAATTGGAGTCGTGAACTCGACATCCATCTCCTCTAAAGACTCAGCGTCAGAAAGAATTTTTAAGTTTACTCTGTCTATAAAAGTCCTACAAGTAGCTGGGAAAAGGAGGTCAATCATGGCATGGTATCTCGAAGGTTCCGTAGAGACAGCTGTTAGGCTCAGTGTCATTCATCCTCTCGACACAGATACACAACCCTCTGGATTGAGCCATTGTTGGAGCCATTCAGTTAGGGAATGACAGAACTACAAGTGATACCATACTCCTAAGAATTTAAAAATGCTTCAAAACTGCCAGTCATGGTGAGTTTTACCTCTTCTCGTAGTCTTATTATTTGGGGTTTGTTTGGTAAAGCCTAAAGCGATTTTGGTCCGATGGAACTGCTTGCAGTGTTCATGCAAGAATTGTGGTGAGTTATTGTTTCATCTGACTTGAATATGCAAAGAATGATATTCAGGAAATGCGATGAGATGCATTCGTCTACAGTTTTTTTCAAAGGGGGTTTCGAAAAAATTGTAGTAGATACAATAATTTTGCAACATTGTTTGAACTTTGTTGGGTTTCCAGTTCAAAAATATTCTATCAAGAATCGTGTATGCAGACTCCATGTCCACAGCGAGTAATTATAATCATGAACTGAGTGCCGTTATTCAACCCATTAAGCTCTGTTTACCATCTTCATTAACCCCAATTTATCAACTCCCGCCCTAAATTTTGCTTCGTTTTCTCGGTTCTTAATCTGGCAAAGTTTTCCGCTTTCATCACCCCGTCAAGATTCATTTATTTTCCCATTCGATGCCAGGCATCTGGAAAGAAAGCGTGGGCCCACAAAATCTCCCACAGCTAATGAAATGACTAGATTCGGTCTCGGGGAAATCGAGACCTGAATTCAAATCAAGTTGTCAGATTCTCGGATTTTGTAGCATCCCCTACGATGGTTTTATTCGATTCAAATCGCGTTATCCGAGGGAAAATTCGGCGAACGAATCGGTTCGCGCTATGAAAGCAGTCGAATTTGGGCTTGCTGGAATATTGAAATGAGAAGGGAAAACTAGGTTTTATGAATTTCCATAAAATCGTAGCCGACGAGAGTGGTTATTTTCTATTGAATTTCTCAATTTACTCCAATCCGATGTAAATTATTGAGTTGCGAACCACAATTTGAGTCCTGAGTCACAAATTCAAAATAGTGACTTTTATGATGTCTTAATTGGGGCTGAAGGTGGAATGGTGTAAAGGACAGGAGTGAAGGTCAGCGCATTGCCGACTCTTCAGTCAAGGGAGCGGCTGGCCTGAGAATTTTAGAACTCAGTGACACCTACGTCAATTGCGGAACTAGTCAAACGTCACGCTCATGCTCAATCCCTAAAGAGATGGGATGGAATCAAAGTATGCAATCTTTCATGGGGCTAGTGGATACACCTCTATGCAGGATGGGTGAACAGGAAAATGAAACTGTTAGGCATGTCCTATGCAAGTATTAGGAGTTATCGTGTGTGTTTGGCTTGTTTTGGCCTACACCTGCCGATATAAAGGAGATGTCTCCTAGTGACCTGTCCACCTTCCTGGAAAAGACAGGATGGACGATGACCTAGGAGGAGAACTCCTCGGGAGTATGCCTAAGTACTGTAGGCATACCCTAACCCTCCCTATTCTACAGATACACGTCAAGCACTTCTCCCAAATACCAGAGCTGCGGTACTCTTCTCAACACTCATATTACCAACCAAGTTGACGTCTTACAAGTAATTCCTGAGTGTAAAACTGGTCTCTATTTACGAGAAAGGTTTGAACAGTTTTCGGCCTAATGAAAATATGAGAAATTTTTTCAGATTTTTTTCTATTTTTCAACCTAGTCTTCTTTCAATTCCATACACTTCTTTCAGCGATGCTCCTATGTCTGAAACCCTTCCAAATAGTACTCGGCGTTTTTCTCTGCATAGACCGCAATTTTCAGATGAGGGAACGAAAAGAAGTCGCTTGGGCGTGGATCTGGTGCGTGAGGCGGATGGTCAAGCAGTTCAAACCGTAATTCGTGGATGTTTGGCATTGCAACCGCTGAAGTGTGGAACGATACGTTGTGTTGGTGGAACATGATTTTCTTCTTCTGCGAATGTGGCCGTTTTTCGATTAAAATAACACCATGATTTCCCCAACAGGCGCCACCACTTTTCCAGCCGAAAAAACAGTTTTTGCTTCTTTCGGGGCCGGTTTTCTGGTCCACTGTTTGGACTGTATTTTTGTTTCAGACGTATAATGGTATATCCAACTTTCATCCAAAGACAGCTCTCTCATGCCTAAATGCTGCACACAGGCTCTTTTGACATATTCATAACCTCTGATATCTCTCTCACTTCCATTTGGCTATCTCTCTCACCATTTGGTGAACTTTGGCGAAAAAATTGTCAGTAGTTGCAGTTTTTGGATGTCCCAAGCTCATATGGCCATGTTTAAATCCAGCTGCCAAAAATTCCACTGTGGTAAATAATAATGCAGACTCCTATACACAGAATCCAACTAATCTTTGATTTGTGTAGACGTATTGCCTTTCAAAAACAAATATTTAATGACAGTTCGATACTCGATCTTGTCCATTTATTTTATTTATTTATTTCACACACTATTCTACAGGATGAACCCAATTACAGAATGAGGAGTACCAGTGGCATTTACAAATATGTACTTACATAATATAATTTGTGAATCTATTTAAAAAAAAATTAAAAACAGAACTGTCAGTACTACTTACGGTTGTAAAAATACGATTTGAAGAGGGAAATTGATTCAATGGATAACCCAAAAATCGAAAGCTTGTTGAGCAGGTCAAGTCTGTCGAACGCTTTAGAGAAATCAGTGTAGATGACATCAGTCTGAGACTGACAATCAATACCCTCTGCAATACATTGAGTGATTGTTACAAAATTGGTGGTGGCTGAACGTCCTTTCATGAAACCGTGTTGATTGGGACTAATAATGCTCCTAACATGACAATAGATTGTCTTCTAAAGAAGCATCTCAAACACTTTACAAAAGTTGCAGATGATAGAGATTGGTCTGTAATTTTGTATCTCACTTTTATCTCCTTTTTTAAAAATTGGGCAGACTTTCGACATTTTCCATATTTATGGTACAGTTGATGTTTTCAGGCATATATTAATTAGAGTTGTTAGTGGTTCAGCCAGAGCTGAGGCACAATCTTTAATGATGAATGCTGGAATATGATCAAGTCCCGCAGTAAATTTAGGCTTTAATTTTTTAGGGTATGATAAACAACTTCAATACCAAAGTTTTTGATTACTAAGCTGGGAATATCACTATTGTTGTTCGCATGGTCACTTGATATTAACACTATATAAGAACCACTGAAGAAATCTGCAAAACCTCAAGAATATCTGAGGGATTATCGAGTAGCTTGCCTTCATGTAACATTTTATCTTCGATTCCATTCATATATTTTGACTTGTTAATGAATGACCAAAGCTTATTGGAGTTATGGATAATCTCGCTCTCAGTTTTCTGAATGAATTTTTTATGAGCTATTCTAATGGCTCTTTTGAATTCTGCCCGAAGACGTTTGAATTCGTGAAAAGCGTATTCACATCAAAATTTTGTTTCAGTTCGAATTTTCTTTATCAATGCACCATCAAAGTAGGCTGGATAATTACTTTTGGATTTTATCGAGAATTTTGGCACGCAGCGATCAAATACACTGTATAATTTTTCAAGATTAGGGATCAGCTCATACATGAGCGGAAAGTTTGAAATTGTATGCATTTTGGAAACATGATGCAAATTTATTCTTTGAGTTCGTTTTGAAGTTCAGTTCGCATGTTATTTCCAAAGCAGAATGAAAACATTGTCCATTTTCATGAAAACACTCACATCAACTCACTCAAAGACTGTTACATAACAACTACGCGTCCAAAATAGCTGAAACTTTGGTGCGTAACTGTCAACAGATGAACGACGGAATTCAGTAGCTTTTATTTACGAGTGCTGTTGAGATCGGAAACTTTCCAGACCACCCTTCTATATCTAACAGAAATATACTTCCATCTTCAGATACATCAATGGTTTCGGGTGGACATTTGCAGAAAATTGGTTGGTACATGGTAAACGATGAGCTGTTCATAACACAGGTCTGCAAAAACACTTTTTAACAAATTGTTTTGAGTTCGTTAATTGATCTTTATGTAGCGTTTGTTTGAAGGTAATTGACACTGTTTCATGATGAATTTCACTAGTTCGGACTTCCATTGTCTACTTTATAAAATGATTTGAAATCCCTGAAACAACTAGAAAAAAAGAATTAAAAATAAATAGCTGAAAACAAGAAATATAGTAACCAAAATTAACCTGAAATGAAATAATAGTGAAATAAAATACAAGTAAAAATAGAACAATTGAATAAATAAAAATAAAGAAAAGAAAGAAGAAAATAAAAATAAAAAGTGGAGAGATACCAAGTCACGTAAGTTCACGACGTTTCGATTGTTAGTATCTACAATCGTCTTCGGGTGATGACTGGACTGATTCCTCCGAGAGATGACTATTTATAGGTCGTTCGAGTACTTTCACTTATCCCCGCTTTCCATTTTCCGCTTCACTGGTTCCATGGGAGATGACCGTTTTGGCCATTTTTCGCTTGATGATGGGTTTCCATATGTTGCGTATTTCTACACTGGCTTGGCTGAATACGTTGTAGGACAACATGTATGCGGCTTCCTTGAATTTTCTCCTACACCAATGTTCCTCTCTTTATGTAGTTTTTTGCGCTGATTTCAAAAATGACATTTGTTTTCATCTATCACGTAAGGTTTGCCTTCAAAATGAGGATGAAATAATTGAAAAAGTACAAAAAACGAGGAATTGTGGATTAATTTTGATTTTTTTAACATGAAGTAAAAGCATAAAAAACAATGCTATGCATAGCTAAACTAAGCATAATAGTGATACACAAGTGTTTGCAAAGTGATTATATATGAGTCTTTGTAAAAACGTCTTCTTTTTCCGTCAAAGCTTCTTTTAGTACTTTTTCGGCTGTGTTCTTGTGAATTTTTCCTTTTGAACATCCAACAGTAGTCTGCCATCATGTTAACATTCCACCGACCTTGGTATCTGCGTTTCATTTCTTTTATGTCTTGATGGAACCGTTTTCTTCGTTCCTCACTTACAGCCCCTAGCTTTTCGGGAAAGTAGTCCAAATGTGAGTGAAGGAAATGGACTTTGACACTCACTACAAAACAGTTTGTAGTTTTGTATCAATTCAGCAACCAAAGTTTTGTAGTTTGGGTCTTTTTTGTTTCCAAGAAAGCCTGTTATAACAAGTTTGGATGAATTCCAGACATTTTTTTTCTTTCATTACCATTTTAGTGACAAAGCTTTCATCTTTCAAAAGTTTTCTTATGTCAGCCACAATGAAGACTCCTTCTTTCAGTTTAGCATCGGATAGACCAGGAAATTTTTCAGAAAGATACTTGAAATAATCTCTTCCTTTGTCTAATGCTCTCACAAACTATTTCATTAGCTCCGATTTGATATGGAGTGGTGAAAGTGAGATTTTTTAGAAATCCACTAAGCTTTGTTCTTCAACATTTTTAACTCCAGGAACAAGGCCCTTTCTTATTGGCCACACCTGTTTGACATAGTTTTGTTTCCTATCACGGCTATTCCATTGACATAGGAAACATGGAAACTTAGTGTAACCACTTTGTTGACCTAATAACATTGAAATAACTCTCAAGTCTCCACAAATGGTCCACTTATGATCAGAGTAGCTGAGCTTATTCAGAAAAAATTCAAGATTTTCATAGTATTCTTTCAAATGTACTGAGTGTCCAACAGGCACAGAAGCATATTGGTTCTCATTGTGAAGAACTGCTTTTTGATGAATCGATGAAAAGTCTCCATTTCTCTGGTTCATACGTTATGTTGAACATTTCCATGACGCCGGGTACATTGTTGCAGAAAACTAAGTCACCCTCTTGTGTAAAAAAGGAACAAATTCCTTTTCTCTAAATCGGTACCATGAAAATGAAACACCGGAGGCTAACATATGTCTTTTTCTAAGTCTAGACCCTGAAACTTCTGCCTTTGGGTGTCCCAGATTTCGTATTGAATCGTTCAAGTGAAATTTGTGACTTATCTATAGGTGATAAAATTTTTTTACTATTTTTTTGGTAATCTGCATACAAAATACTGTTAAAATCACTGGTTAAATATCCTACGATTACTTCATCGCAGACCTGTGTAATGGGACCTTTGTTAGTGATCATAGTTCTCATTCCATTCCAAAGTTTCACAAAATAAATTATTTTCGAAGTTTTGGTTGACATATCCATAAAACTGTAAATGCAGAAAAACCTTCGAGAAATACCATGATTTTTTTTGTTTCAGCACAGAGATTTGTTCGTTCGGCGGTCTCGTAGCCAAACCCATACAGCTCTTCATGTTCTGCGCAGTGTACGGCCCGAGCGCCGTCGTTCTACTCGTCTGCTACGGTTACATCTACGTCGTAGCTCGAGGCCATGCTCGGGCCATCCGATCGGAAGTACGTCATTCTCGGCACTCGGCTCAACGAGCACCAATGACGGGAGGGCCAGGGCCGCCTAGATACGGTTTAGCGTTAGCTATAACAGCGGGAATGTTCCTCGTTCTTTGGTTACCATTCCAGGTGAGTGAAGTAGACGTATTACAGACACGTAGAAATAATTATTCTGTTAACGTAGCGAGAATCGATCATTTAAAAAGCCAGCGCAAAGAGATTGTCAATAGCATAACTGAAGCTAGGTTGGTACAACTATCATAATGAAGAAAAGAAAAATGAAACTGTCTATGTTTTTACCACTTTTATTTGTAACTGACGTTACTGCAGTTTCGTTCTATACGGACATTTTCAAACTTATACAGTGCTAGTCAAAAGTCCCCTCCCCCCCTCGTATCTTTGGAACGGGTATACTTATAATAATAAAATTTGGAGGGTGGAAATAAACGGATGAAAGCTTCTTAACTGGTCATAACAGGTGACGCAATGAATGACGTCACAAGGCCACTGTGACCAAAAATTTTAAATGGGACCCTATGGCAAGTGACAGCTCGTTTGAAAGGTATTGAAAATACCTATTCAGTCATACCAATTTTGTTTGGGTTTCGGCTGATTTTGATTGATAAATTGAAGAAATACGAAAANCAGTGGCCTTGTGACGTCATTTATGACTATTGCGTCACCTGTTATGACCAGTTAAGAAGCCTACATCCGTTTATTTCCACTCTCCAAATTTCATTATTAGAAGTATACCCGTTCAAAAGATACGAGGGGGGGAGGGGACTTTTGACTAGCACTGTATAATAAACTTATACTACACTGAACTGAAGGAAGAGATGCATATTTCATTGAGAAATCCTTTCGAAACCCTTGATAGCAGGCTGTTCCATATTGAATGCCAACCCTTTTAAGGACTTTTCAACTTCTAAATGACTTGTCAATAAATTAATCGTCATTACTTCGGCCTGAATTTTCAACTAATTCAGTTCCTTGTATTCTTCCGTGAGAGATTCCAGTTGCTATTAAAGTTTTCTCATACATTTTCCATCACTATGTCTCCCAGTGTGAACTATTAAAAAGAGCAGACTGGAAATTAAATTTTCTAATTAAAGTACATCGTCCTCATTTCGGCAAATATAATGATCCAGAGTAGAAGCGGAGAAAGAGAAGATTTGCTGTTTTAAATTATTCGTCAACAAAAATCTACAGATGAACGTAGCTTGGATTTACCCTACTTTATATTTTGATGGTAGTTACTTGTTTAAGATTCATACGCGAACAACGGCAATGAATTCCTTTCATTTGACGTTCAAAAGGGACATGTTATTTTCCAAGGTCGACATATAGCCATTATCTCAGATAGCATTATCACCATAACTCTGAGAAAAACACTTATAAACTCATTGAAAAAACATGATTGTTAGACTTTGAAAAATAATTGTCCTGCCACGTACCTGAATACGATTATATTCTAGCTTGATGAATAGCTACTTCAATTCTCATAACAGAATTTATGATTCTATTAAAATCTGTCATAACGATAGGTTACGTTAGCAATTGTGTTATACCTTGTATATAGGTGAATCAAATATAAACGAGATAAACGAGAATTTATTTTTATTTTAAACGCAAAAAAGAATATAATTTATTTTTCTACATAATCTCCTGATTTGGAAACATATTCTTCCCAGCGGATAGGCAGCTTTCCAATTCCTTCCACGTAGAAAGATGCAGGTCGTGTCTGCAGCCAGTTGCGCACGTAGGCTCCAACCTCAGCATTACAATCGAATCTTTGGCCCCTCAAAGCATCCTTGAGAGGAGCAAACACATGAAAGTCATAGAGTGACAGGTCTGGACTGTAAGGAGGCGAAGTCTGCAGTCATGGCTCTCATTTTCAACACTATTACGACCCTCCACGAACTGTTCATGCCATGCAAACACTCTGGCTATGCGATAGTGTATCTTCTCCGAACTGTGCATCAATATCTTCAAGATTTCGGCCGGTTTTACGCCTTCTACAGCGAGAAACTTGATTACAACACGTTGCGCAATTGACGGATGTACCTCTTTCTCCGACATCGTCACGGTGGATACTGAGAGGGCTGAGAAGGCGATCCCATGTACTTCCCCTACTCCTGACAAACCTACCCAACAACAAACATAGCGAGAACGTTCTCCCTCCACTAATGTGTCTGAAGGTCGAAAAGTCTCGTTTATATTGGATTCACCCACTTACTCTCTTTCCATGGATCAGCACCATGACACGAAACAAAAATACTCATTCAATACGCTTTCACTTGATCATGAACGAATTTTTGAATAGGGATTGAACGCTCTTGAAACTCATGTGGACTTGTATCGTCAAAAATTTGATAATTTTCTTTGTTCACGTATCCATTCATCGCTGAAGAGATGATTTTTCGGTGAGAATTAGGCCCCAACTGCACCAGGGCTCATTCAGCGAGCACAAGTCGTTGTTTCAGTCATTTACCTTCAGTTCCTGGGTCAGTTGAATTCTGTTCAAGTATGGTTCTCTCCCCATCATCCCTTCCATCAGCCGAACTTCCGTCCCTACAATCACCCTCGCCACTCTCTGAAATTATAAATACGAGTGAATCCGTAGCTCACCAATCAGCTATCGCTGAGACTCCGAGATATAACCTTACCGATTATGATGTATATCGAAGCAGACGAAATGTTTGGTATTTTAGATTCCATTCGCCTGGATTATGTTCTCATCGATATTGTGGTTCCACTATAGTTTTTCAAAGGTCCAAAGACGTCCAATGAACATAGTTTGAGCCTCAACAAATAACATCTTTAATATAACATAAACCCCTCGTTGTTTCAGGTATGCATGCTGATGGACGTCTTCATCGGCACCAACATCCTCACAGCTTGGATCTCAGTCTACTTGGCGCTCCCCATCCTAGCAAGCAGCGCCTTCAACCCGTGGGTCTACGGCTACCGGAATTCCGAGCTTCGCCGAGCAGTACGCAGAGTAGTAGACGACCTCTTGACTGCCTTAGGCTTCACGCACCGCAGCAGCCACGGAACGTCAGACCAGCTTCCCCCCAGTGCAGCAGCAACAGCTGGAGACGTCGGCTCTTTCATCAACAACGTGCAGAGAGACTGCTTCGAGTGGAAACCCGCAGCGGACTTCCTCCTGGTGCCCATGGCGCACCCGGAAAGCTCCGGGGTCGTTTCTGACTGCGAGCAGCGCATCTTCAGCGATAATCCTAGGCTGCTGCTCGCTGGCGAGGCGCCTAGACAGCTGCGGATGTCCAGAAGCATGGTAGAGAGCTTCGCCGTGAACCGGGGTTCGGACATTGTGATAATAACCGGGAGGGAACGAGGGATGAAGCACGGATCTAGTGTGGTGTGAGGAGGAGATTTATGATGTTGTTATCCGAAGTTTGGGGAGTAGGAGTGGGAGATTTTAAGCTTTGTCTAGTCAATTTCTATGTTTCTTTGTTTGTGATTGTTCCAATGAAGGATGAATGGGCGAAGGTGGGTTCTGCTTTTCAGTTGGTGGGATGATTTTGGAAAACTAGATGTAGCTTATGAAGAAGCCAACTAGGGAGTTCAACACTGAAGAATCAAATCGCGAATGTCAATGCTAAATGGGGCTATCATTGGCGTGCTTACTCATAAACAGCCTTGCCTCTTAAGTTGAGTCTAGCACCAAGATCTGACTAAGGGTATATTCTAGCTAGTTGATATCAAATTGATATACTTTCGTTTTCCGTTCTAGGGGCAGAAATGAGTTCAATTCAAAGAAAGCTAAGACTTGCTGATATTGATGAATATATTCTCAGAAGTTTTGGAATAATTCCACGATGGATGTCATTCTCTTCAATCACCTTTCAGCTATTTTGATGATAACTGAAGTTTATTCTCAGGGAACTACGCAAATGAGAGTATAACATAAACGTCGCATCTGATACAAACATTTTTCTGGCTACGGAAAAATAGACAAATATCTCACATGACGGTACTGGTTTCCTCCCATCAAGAGGCCAAATGTTTTGTGACTACTCTTGACGACTCAGATGTTACTCAACTCGTGAAACTTTTCAGTTCCTGAAGGTACGAAGGATGAAATACATAGACTATTGTCTCGGGCTTCGACATTATAATAGTAGCAACCAAATGGTGCAAAATCACCTCTCACAACAGTCATTGATTGAATTGAGGCATTTCAACTTCAAAATGAAGACCTTTTGAATATCGATAATCAATTAGTCATACCATCAAATTTGAACTGAACGTAATCATATTGGGTTTTGATTTATCAGTATTATATTCCAGGCTATGAACTTCCATAGTTCTTGATATTTCATCTTGAAATCTGTTGACCAACTGATGAGCAGAATCATCACCATGTTGAATGGCTTATATACAGGGTAACGAGCAAAATTTAAGTTCTTGAGTCGGTTATATTGGTAGTTTCATATTGAAGCACATTTTTCTTGTTTATCATCGATAACTTCTCCATAAGAAACTTACCTTTTAATGAGAATGAAGTATGAGAGTAAAACTGTTACAAAAGCTGTTTATGAATATGAAAATTTTGCAAATTTCTGTTGATACTTCCTTTGAAAAATGCGAATGAAACTCCACAACACTTATGATTTTATGAAGTTGCTCTTTCATTCACTTTGAAAATAATTTCCAGATTCAGTATACTCTGACCCAATTGTGATGAGGTATAAAAAGTCAACAGTGGACCATGGATGGAATGTTGTATACAAGTATGAATTTATTTAGAAACGAACTCATTATAATTGTTTTCATTAAAATTTATTTTTTTATCAAGTGTCGGTTTTTTTCTCACCCAGAATATCAGTCTCTTTTCCAGATTTTGTTTGTAAAAATGGGAATTTTGAGCATTGCTGTTACCATAAACAGTGTTATTTGAAAAATATGAAGGAGAAACCGAACCTTGCGGCACCCTTCTCCATTGATATATGTGAACACTGGAGAAGGCAAATAATAGATGATTCAAATTGAAAGAGGTATATTTTTAGAAGAGATCAATTTTTGGGAAAAAAAAATTTGGCTTTCTACTTCTCCATCTTCAAACTTAAAAATGAGGTAATCTTCAAAAAAAAGCAGTTTATTTGAAAAAAAAAGATGTGTAGATCACGCAAAGAACTAACTTCCAGACAAAAACTGGAAAAAATCCTTTTCAAACAATTACTTCCATATAAACACTGATATCGTATATGGAAGAGGCAATATTTCACTTGGAACACTGAAATCCCCAATGGTGAACATCGATGTTTCGGAATAAAACACTTGTCTAATAGCACCAATCTTGATAACAGTACAAGATAAACCACTTAATGTAATCAAATCAGAATTCATTATGGATTAAATTGCTTTCTTTCTTTGGAAGATTCCTATATTTTTTGTATGAAGATAGAGAAGTAGAAAACAATAACTCCTTTCCCAAATATATAAGATTTATGGTGTGAATATCATTTCAAATTTATAAATAATGGAACGCGAAAATAAATATATGTTGAATATTTTAAAAACATATCACGAACATTGATTTCAGATACGAAAAGTAAGTATATCCACTTATGTTTTAAAAAACATGTTTTGCGTATCATTTTCAATTGTTGGTTTCAGTGCACGAGATAAGATATAATAAAATTGTTGTTATCACGAAAGGTAAAGTGATGGGATGATGATTTATTTCGTCTTTTAACACTTATCATCTTTATAACTAATTAATAAAAGGATAGTCCTTGTACCAGAATATCCAGCTGTATCACACTCATTTCAAAATTGTTTTCCTTTTCTGTATTCTTCGATAGGTTTATACACTTCTCTCACCATCACATCTAGGAATTTGTTCCAGGCTTCCAATTCTTCCTGTTTCATAAAAGATAAGGTGTCAACTAGGGCCGCTTTGACGTCCTGGAATTATAAAACAGTGTGAAATTGGTGTTTTTTTTCATAATTACATTATTCATTGATGAATTGAAACCTTGATGAAAAAAATGTATATCTGTTGAGGACGTTCGAAAATAAAGCAGGACAGTGAAAGAAACCAAGAAGATCAATAGATTTTTCCAATTCTGAAAACAAAGTCAGATACCTGCAGAATCTCTCAACAGTTTTCTTGCTTGACAAAATTATTGAATATGACAAATTACTGATAAATAAAAAATTATGGTACAATTCAGAGATATTTATTTAATATTGATGGAGTCACAAACCGTTATTTCAACACTTCGACACATGCTTCAAGAGGAAGATCAAGCTTCCTCTTGAAGATGATCACTTGGTGATCGAAACACCTGTCTAGGTGTTGAAATAACGGTTTGATTTTGGGAAAAAACTCCAGTAGTATTCATTAATACAGCAATGGTTGTGGAAGGTGAAAATACCCAAAGAAGTTTGATAAAAAGCAGATCTCTCCTAAAAAAATTATTGAAAGCTTCAATATCTTTCAATTATTCTCCATATCAGAAATTAACCTATTGAACACCAGATGATATTACATTCCTGACTAGTACTACAACGGATATATCTGCTAGATAATTGAGTTTTATGAGGCATGAGAAGTTGATGAGATGCTTATATATTTTCACTTCAAAACAGTGTTCTTAGTTTCTGAAAATACGGCTCAAGAGGTGTGTATCTTTTTCAAGCGCAGATCATATCGAAATCGGCATATACTACAAAATGTACACATTTATTCGAAGGATTTGGTGCTTCAGATAGTCGTTTTGGCCCAATTCAACGATTTGATGGAATGTAATGATGTCATGTCTCAATACACCATCGTCAATGGGAAATTAATCTGTTTTGAAGCTTGCAATTCAATTTTTCAGGGTCGTATCCGAAAGATATCATCACCAAGGGTATTGAGCGTATATTTGTACATTTGCTCAAAACTAGACCCTTCTAAATGCTGGTACTTTATGATGCCTAGAAAATACAATTTTTCTTTTCCACAATTTCGTTCCACATCGTTTTTTTGTCAAATTTACAATACTATTTGTTGCTGAGATATCAATATATCTACGTATATCATTAATTTGAACAAATTCTTTGTCATTTCCGATCAAAATCTGAGTTGTTTGTATTATTCACCTTCAAAGCATCGATATCTACGCCTCTTGGGGCATGCGCAATTCCTATTTTTGCAGCTAAACTCGAAAAGACTGCGGAATCTTCCATTACACCAATCAGTGAACTAATGCTGTACAGGACAGAGTTGCAGTGAGCCTGGAATGTTTTGTTGGTTGGTAAGTCGTTCTTGGAAATGTTTCTGAAGGGGAAGGCTTGCTGATGTTTTGGTTGGATTTCGAATAACCTGAAAAAAATACAAAAATGTATGTTTATTTCGGAAATTTTCGAACCGGAACGTTGATTTCACTGAGTACCTAAACCAGGGTCTCCCAAGTACTTAATATGCCTCTTCAAAGAATTTGAAGGACTCAGATCGGGTGAACGAGGAGGCCACTCAATTATACATCTTCGTAATTCATATTGACAAAATTGTTACTTACATTCCACCTTGCAACTTTTTTAATCTACTAACTATAGTGAATATATTTTCATTTGCTTTCTTGACTATGAAGAAATCTTTTGTTCTCTCCATTGTTTTGAAAGTTGACATGAAAGTCATGAAAATGTGTGGCATTTCCGAAGTAATCTCGAACATATAACAATTTTCAATGGGTACATTGGGAATCTCAAGCGTGGAATAAATCTGTCTGAAACAGATTCGCCACACAGGAACTATAGCACTTTTGTAGACGTGCTAACTGAGTTAGCATTATCGACAGATGACTAAAACAGCTTTAGTCATCTATCGGTGATGCTATTTTTTTCAGCGAAACACGTGGAAAAGTGATCATAAGTGATCTTCCCATCCTAATTATCACCACCATACAGAAGAGCAGTTTCATGCGCAAAATTGACAATTTTATTTGTGATGCTATGTGTGCTCAGGGAAAAATTGTTATATACTAAGAATACCAGTGGCCAAAATATTGTTCATTGGATAACTTATTTCATATCTGTACGTTCACTTTTTTTAGAGAACATTCCATTTTCATAGAGTGTCGATAACATTTTATATGACTTTATATAACCAAAAATGATCAGTACCTGGTGATCAATTGGCAAAAATACTCGATTTTCGGTATACTGTGGATATGAGACTTTCATCCTAACTAGTCCATTCCAGAAAAGCTCAATTTTTTGTTCTCCATCTCCTTGGTAAACTGTATATTCTCATTACCATTCATATGCGAAAAAAACCTTTGAGCTTCTCTTATTCGTGGCTACCTAGAGAACATGTCATTCAAAATGTACCACAAGGAAAATATTCTTTTACAAAAGTCCAAAAACACGTCAAGTTTATTCATGGAGTACACATGTATTGACAAATAATAATTGCAAAACTCCGATGTTCATTCTCGCAGGCTTTTAATATGCCTCTTTGACAAATCCGGAGAACTTAGGTCGGGCAACCGAGGAGGCCACTCGATTGTATCCATTCGGCCCTAGCAAGCGACTTGTTGGAACATAATTTTCTCCTCAATCTATGCAAGTTCAATCTCTAAGATGGTTAACGCTGGGTATGTATGTGACATAACATTGCTTTTTCCAGAGTCGTGAATCTTTCATGCATCTATACTTTCTTAAAAAATATTTCAACCACATTCCTTGAATACTATGTAGATATTCACAACAGCGGTATTATCGATATCCCAATTATAGGCGGTAATCAACGGATAGTAGCCAGGTTGAGTTATTAAGACAAATCTAAGTTAGCATTCTAATAAGTCAGAGTCTCGAAAATTCTCATTCCACATCGTATGATTGCCTTAATGCCAGGTTTGTAAGGCTGACGACTATAAAGCTTCCATTATCTTGTGAACCAGTTCAGTTCAGTTGGTTCCATTCTTACATAATTCAAACGAATCACAAACAAAGATTTTCTCCAACGCAGGAGAAACTGATGAAAGATAATCTCATAATGTGAAATCTTCAAGCCTCACTGTTGAAATACAGCCGATAGAAAAAAAATGCCTTGAAAGTGATTTCTCATGAAACCCTTCTTACATAAACTCTTGCCTGAACTCACCTCATGAAAAATTTTATCCCATTTCCAGTCGAGTCTTTCATTACCGTTTCCCATGAATTTTTCAGAAGATATTTGTCCCTAGAGGTGAGTCCTAGCTGCGGGTCTGGATCGTCAGTTCTGTATGAGCTCATTATCAGGCTGAAAGCTGGAAAAATTGAAAGGAAATGATAACATGGGAGCAAATTATTATCAGGAATTGGAACTTGATGAGTGTTGTAATAGATTATTTTCATTTTCAGAGTGTCGAGCACGTTTATACGGGTTGATTTCTGTTTTGAACCGGCCTTCATAGACATATACAGGGTCAATCGACCTAAGCCTTTGATCTAATCATATATTTATCGGAGGTAAACTAAGACCATCTCAATAATTGATTTTCCCTCATATTGGATATTTCATTAGAGATAATTTAACCATCATATTCATTCTTCAATCAAACTAACCGACTTGGCATCACCAGGAGAAAACTAAAACTGAATTTTCATGGATATATTGATATTTTTATACATACCTAATGATAGCCAATGAATCAATTTCTAGTATTACTAATTGCATTCAATCATTATCGTACCTGAAGTCACTTACTATTTGTTGTGATACCTCGTCTCACCTGTTTTCTACCTATAATTATAACGTAAAAGTGTTATTTTTGATATATGAACTTCAAAAAAATCAAAATCAAATCAAAATCAAAAAATCTTTATTTCCGTAGACCTAGGGAAGGCATGGAAAAAGTCACATTAATCAGTACAATTACAATGAGGTCACAATCATAAAACAACATAATTATAAGACATACAATATAACATTTAGACCATAAAAGGGATACAAAAATTAAAATTTAAAATTCCACTGAAAAAATTCATCAAGCAAATAAAATACCTTTTCACATAATAGTTTCCGAACTTTTTGTTTAAAGAGCTTTACACTAGTTATTTTTTTAATGGATATTGGGAGCTTGTTGTACAGTTTTATTGACATGATATGAGGTCCATTAGTCACCTTGGCTAACTTATGACTAGGAATTAAAATGTTATAGTTTTTTCTCAGGGTGAAGCCCGAAAGAAGACATGTATCATCTCTGTTCTGAAACTTGGAGCAATTTGATTTAACGTAGATTATGCAATTAAGAATATACATGCAAGTAACAGTTAATATATTCAACTTTGCAAAAAGTGGTTTACAGGAATCGAGTGGTTTTTTGAAACAAATTGTTCTCATAATCTTTTTCTGGAAAATTAATAAGTCACTGATTCTATTGCAGTTGCCAAAACGAATAATACAGTAATTGAGGGCAGAGTAAACATATGCATAATAGTTACTTTTAAGAATTTCGATAGACACAAAATTACGCAGATTCCATATAACGAAACAGTGTGTCGCTAATTTCTTCGGTATAAAATCAACATGATGATTCCAATTGAGTTGGGAATCAATAAAAACTCCTAAAATTTTCTTATAGTTTACCTTTTCAATACTTTTAATCTCAGACCTAACCAATACACTACAATCAGTTTCCTGAATTGTAAAGAAAATGGTGTTGGTTTTAAGATTATTTAGAATCAAGCCATTCTCAGAACAATAATTTTGTATGTTGGATACAGCATCATTTGCTCTTACTGACAATGTTTCACATTCCGAACCACTGACAGTAAAAGATGTGTCATCAGCAAATTGTATAGAGCACTGTGGATGAATAATTTTTGAAAGGTCATTAACAAATAAAATAAATAGTGTAGACCCCAAAACACTACCTTGGAGCACACCTGTAACAACGTTTCGAGATTCAGAGACAAATGACCCAGTCTGAAGCCTAACTTTAACAACCTGTGCACGACCAGTTAAATAGGTTTCAACCCATTTCAGACTTGGATAACGGACGCCCATGTCAAACAGTTTATCAAGAAGAAGACCATGATGTATGGTATCAAACGCCCGTGTCAAGTCGAAAAGAACACTAAGTGATTTTTCACCGTTGTCGAAGTTTGATAATACATGATTATGTAGAGGCCCCAAAAAATGTATTGTCATGTATCGGCCTTAACAATTTCAATTTTTCTTATTTAATCTTGAGCGACCTTTTGAGTACTTTGAGATATTATAGACTTCTCTGGTCTATGTTCCTTGAAGCGAGAAATTGCTTTACACTAAGTTTGACCAACATACTTTCCATTGTAATCCTGGAAGCTTCTTTCATAAAATCATAGACTTATCTGTTTTTGGTTATTTTGTTCTTCCAGTTGTCCAAAACTTGTTGAAATTTGTAAGCACGCCTTAGTTTGAATGCCTGCAAACTATTTTTTTTTCAACTTGGCACAACGAAATTGAAATAGGTTTCCCGTAAAATAAACCAAAGTTTGTTCGGCCAGTCTTCAGTCGAAAAAAAATGAATCGATATACAACAGAAAACTGAAGAGATCAAAATATCTGATAACCTCAGAACAAGTGACCAAGGCAACTCTGTTGACTCACGCTGTATTTGCCAATATTTTTCACTTCACAGAAATCACGCTCTACTCTGATTTCATTCAATACTGATCTATCAATCTATGAGAAGTGACAACTTCACAATAAATGTACAATTCCTGCGATATATATTCATCGATTCAATCTCTTACCGCAAAATTAGAGTCCAAGAAAAGGTAGCAAATGCACTTGATTCAAATAGATTGCACAATGCTGTTCGATACAAAACACTGACTTTTATTAGTTTCATCACATGGAGAAGCACGTAGGCATTTTTTAAAGGCATACATTGTCACATGATTCATTTCAATAGATAATAATTATCGGTAACTCAGATAGATTGGAGATGATTAAAGTGATCAATTTCCAGATCTCGTACAATGGACAAAATTACGAATCATTCAGGTAGTGGTGTATCTATGCAAGAGTTATTATAGTTTCCGATATTTCAATTCGATTTCAAATTTTTTTTTTTTATTGTTTGATACTTGAATTTTTATAGCGATTTGAGTTTGAAGAATGATACTTTGAAAATGTTTGTCACATGTTCATGGAAAGACAAAGAGTTATCTATGGTTAGGCCAAGAGTTTTAGCACTGTCTACCCAGTCAATGTCTGTGTTATCGAGAGTGAATCTAAAGTTACACTGAGTTTCTACTATTTGTCTTTGAGACCCTATGCAAAAGGTCAAATTTTGATTTGGATTGATTTTCAATCCATGACCCTCCGAGTATAAGAATGTGCTAATCTCTGTTTATATTGGCCACGCAACTTTCTGCAGCGCTGTTATGAGAAAATAAATATAACTGAATATCATCTGCGTATAGATGTACTTGACAATGTGATAAGAAAGTGAGGTAATCAAAAATAAACACTGAAAACACTAAAATACTTCCTTGCGGTACACCCTGACATTTCATCTGAATTCCAGGACATCGGTTCAACTGAATGCCAAAAAACGCAGGCATCAGTTTTCGCCAAAGAGATAAATGTCGCCGAACTGGATATATAAATGTCAAGACAGACAATTCCGCTTTCTGCTTTCATAAGTTTGTTGGGGATTAAAATGGACACCAATATGTCTTGGCACAATCATGTCGCTGGAATTGTAAACGCTGCTCCTCAAATGATTGGAACACTGTTTCCAATCAAAAAACTGTTCACATTTCAGCAAATTTGAATGCTTTATAAAGTTCAGATGATCCAGTTTTTGAAGTAGTGTTTTCATGAAAAATATTAGGATAAACAGGTCTACCACAAACATGAATGTTAATGTCCAATCCTTTAAAAAAACATCAACACAAAGAATTTTCTTTTTTTTCGGTCCCAAATTTTTCAATGCCTCAGCAATTGACCTGAAACAGATTTCAAAAATGAAGAAATACAATATTGAAACAAAAAAATATGTTATGAATTATTCTAAGAAATTTTATGATATACTGAATACAAAATCAACCTAAAAAAGAAAATACCAAGGGTTCACACCCCCTCCCCTGTGTTGATCACATCCGGAAATAAAATTTTCAATATCACAAATATATTTGTTTGAAGGTGATTGACAATGTTTCATGATGAATTTCACTAGTTCAGACCATTGTCTACTATATAAAATGTTTTGAAATCTCTGAAACAACTGAAAAAGAAAAATTGAAAATGAATAGCTGAAAATAACAATGATATTAACCAAAATGAAAATAAAGAAATGAAAAAAGAAAATAAAAATAAAAAGTGGAGAGATTCCAAGCCACTTTAGTTCACGACGTTTCGATTGTTAGTATCTACAATCGTCTTCGGGTGATGACTGGACTGATTCCTCCGAGAGATGATTATTTATAGGTCGTTCGTCCTATATTGGTGAAACTAAGAGGCCATTGAATGTTCGCATTGCCGAGCACAAGAAACACACACAGCGAGGGGAAACCAGCAAATCAGGAATAGCAGAGCATGTTTGGACTCGTCAACACAACATCGAGTGGTCCCAAGCTGAGATCTTGCACAGAGAGGAACATTGGTTTAAGAGAAAATTCAAGGAAGCCGCATACATGTTGTCCAACAACGGATTCAGCCAAGCCAGCGTAGAAATACGCAACATATGGAAACCCATCATCAAGCAAACGGTCCTATCCCACGGAACCAGTGAAGCGGAAAATGGAAAGCGGGGATAAGTGAAAGTACTCGAACCACCTATAAATAGGCATCTCTAGGAGGAATCAGTCCAGTCATCACCCGAAGACGATTGTATACATACTAACAATCGAAACGTCGTGAACTAACGTGACTTGGAATCTCTCCACTTTTCATTTTTATTTTCTTTTTCATTCCTTTATTTTTATTAATTCAATTGTTCTATTTTTACTTGTATTTTATTTCACTATTATTTCATTTCAGGTTTATTTTGGTTAATATAATTGTTATTTTCAGCTATTCATTTTCAATTCTTCTTTTTTAGTTGTTTCAGGGATTTCAAATCATTTTATATAGTAGACAACGGAAGTCCGAACTAGTGAAATTCATCAGAAATATAGTTTATTTTGCTTACTCACCATGTCAAACAATGTACATTTAACTCTAAATTTCTCTGATCGAGCACATGGCAGACAGGCAATTTTGCCTAGGCTAATGAGGTCCATCTCCAAATTTATTCTAAAGAGCTATACGTTAAAATTCGATACTTTGTACTCTGATTTCAAGGAAATAAAAGTTATTAGGAGCCTCGGCCCTGAGTATACCCGGACGCTGCTGGATTTCATCCAGAAAAGATCCATTCACCTGATTGGAGACCCGAACATCACTTTTAATAATAATAATGATAATAAAACATTTATTGCCCAACAGTAACAACCATTTACAGAGCAATTCAACATGACAATATATATTAAGTATACTCCTAGCACTAATACATAGAGATCTCAGCGTTATCATACGATATACGCTCTAGACTTATTTTTTAATTCGATTAAAGAACAGGAAAAAATATCACAATATTCACAAATTTTGTTATAGTTCGTGCACATCACATAGATTGGTGCCTTAAGCATAAGGTTAGTTTGCGCCCGTTTACACATGCAACCTTTATAGTCGGGAACATCGAAAAAAGGTTGGAGATTTGTCTCCTTTTCATAGATACCTTCACGGAAGGTGTTGAAGTGACTTGGCATATTTGATTCCACCAAAAGCCTTATATATCATAAATACGCGACGGACTCTGGCTGCTCATCGTTTGGAGGTTCAATTCAGTACACCTCGAACTTCACTGTTCAAAAACTCTTTCATTTGGAGAAATGCGTTTATGTAGAATGAACTTCCTGAGAACGTTTTCCCATGTGAATTTAATCTCCAGCGATTTAAATCCAACGTGAATCGATATTTTCCCACAGCCACCGCTCTCAGAGCGCCTCAAGGATTTTCCTGTAGTGCTTGTGTTTTGAACCTAGGAAAAAAGTTGCGTATATTCTTTTAAAAAATCTCCATACAGAAATCAGTATAACAAAAGCATAGTCTTTTTTTGTAGCTGTTCCCACTATTGCTGTCTCGAAAATGGTAGAACCTACAAAATCGGTTGAATTGGATGAAAGTTTTCTATTTTGAGAAACTAAAATAATCTCTGTCATAATATCTTTTTTGTTTTTGAAATATTCGCTAAAAACTAATATTGTTGAAATTCGGTTTTTGGCTCTGCCGCCTCCATATAAAAAAGCAGAGAAGGTTACTACCACTACAATTCCTTTGAAAATCCTAGTAAACTAATATTTCTGACGAATAATGTTATTCTCGATAACACGATATCACGAGTGATTTCATCATCAACGTTGTTTTGCGATAATGAAAACATCGAGTTTGAATAAACAAAATCGTTTTCAGGAGTTGAAGGTCAATCGCTATTCCCAAACATTCATTTTGATACATGGTTATTCAGAATGGCTTCTTCAGCGTGTCTATACTGAAATCTCAAAAGTGTTTTTTCAAAAACGTTATGGATTTTCATCAATCTCTTACTGCAAACAAGTTCGCTAAAGTTTTCGAAAAATGCTTGAAAAATAGACTTGTTCATTTCCTAGACAAGAATAATATCTTAAATAAATGCCACTTTGGATTCAGAGAACATATGTCAACAGAAAATGCTGTATTTCAATTGGTTCATAGTATATTTGGCGAAAGCCTTTGATACTGTCAATCATCATATCTTATTGAGGTGTTTAGAAACCACTGGAGTAAAAGGAGTTATCCTTAACTTTTTTGAAAATTATTTATCTGGCAGGAATCAGATTGTTAAAATCAACAATATTTATAGTGATCCACTACTTATAACCATGGGCGTCCCCCTGTACTAGGCCCAATTTTGTTCTTAATATACATTAATGACATTTACAAAATTGAAAACATCCAAAGCAGCAATACATCTTATGCAGACGATACAACTCTGTCATTTCTAGGCGATACGTGGGAAGACGCCTTTAAGGCAGCTGAAAAGAGACTCACATCTATTTTCTCTTGGTTAAACACAAGTCTTTTGAGTCTAAACCTCGCTAAAACTGAATACGTAACGTTCAACCCCACAAATAAAGACCAACCTTCCAAGAATAAGCTCACTATACACAAACCTATTTGCCAAACCCCAATGATATGCACATGTCCTATAGTTGATAAGGTAAACAACATGAAATATATAAACTACATCATATTGTAGGAATATTTTGAATTAGTTGAACAATCCAACGTGACCTTCTCTTCTGATATTACTCTCTCTTTCCACCAGTTTTCTTTCCTTCCAACTATTTGTATTATTTGTATTTACATTGTCAGTATGAGTGTTTGCTTAATTGTGCAACAATGATACCTCATATTATATGTATGTGTTTATGTATGTATATGTGTGTATATATGCATGTGAATATTTGTGTATACTCATGTATATATTTATGTATATAATCAACGTTTAAGTTGTTTATAGGTTGACACTACAACTCAAGCTCTGTTTAGGTAGCTCAGCCTTCAAAATTGTTTATATATCATTCAGTGCTATATCATTATCAAAATATGTAATTAACTCAATAAATGTATCTATTTATTTATCTATAGAGTTAGCAAATGCGCTCGGTTTATTTCAATAGATAATAAAAATCAGTAACTTGGATAGTTTGGAGATAATCCATCCATGGATTATCATCAAAAATCAGTTGACTCGAGTCATTTTTCTTTTAACTCAATCTTCTATTCCATAGTAGTTTATAACATTTATATCTATGGGTTTTCTATTTCGTAAAATTATTACTGCCATTAACTTTTTTATGGGGCAATTGAACTACACAGTTGAATTAACAGTGCGGAACGCATTCTAGTTTTGATGTAGTAGCTTGTTTTCATTTTGAATGTTAAAAAACAACATATTTCATTCAAATGATTATCGTTCTGTAAAAATCGGAAAACATCAAAGCCATATTCGTTATGCATGGATTGATTTACCTAATTTCCCGTGTTTCCGCCATGAATGTAGGATCTGTTCCATCACATATGGGATGAATTTTAATCTCATCAATTGATGAAGGCCAGTTTTGCGTCATTTACAATGTTTTGGGTGTACATGATATAAAATACATACCTACCTACAAATTACATATTTGTAATTTGTAGGTAGGCATACTGAGGATTTATCCTGTAATCAGTCTGAACACTCAGGAGAAAAACTTTTGAATATATTTTTAAAAACACTAAGAAAAGGTGCAAATTTAAAATTCCATTAGATGTATAATATTTTTGAGAAAGCATACAAAACAATCTTTCGCACGTCAGCTATAGAACTTTAATTTTTTTCATGAGTAACTCCACATTTGATTTTTTTTTAATTGTTAATTGCAAATGTGAGCCCCGTAACTACTTTGATTTCATTAGTTCGGACTTCCATTGCCTGATATTATATAATTTTTGAAAATCAAATAGAATAGCTGAAAAGTCATCACCTGAGTACGATTGTGGATACTAACAATCGAAACGTCGTGAAGTAACTTGTCTTGGATTCTCTTAATTTATGTTTTTTATTTTTTGTTGAATTTTTCTATTTTTTTACTTGCATTCTATTTCACTGTGATTTCATTTCAGTGTTTTTCAGCTTAATATAATTGTTATTTCCAGCTATTCTTTTTAATTTCCAACTGGTATTGGTTCTTTTAGGGATTTCAAATCATTTTATATAACATTAGACAATGGAAGTCCGAACTAATGAAATTCATCATGAAACATTCATGATTCATGATTCAGTCACCTTCAATCACACTTAACTACTATTTTTTCGATTATATTTTATCTCAATTGATGCACGAATCGATAGCAAGGTCAAAGTTCATAAAAAATTCCCGTGTGATGGAAATCCAACTGGTCAAATTTTATACATCATAAATATTGGTTGATATTATTACGATTTTTGTCTAGAATGATTTCAACACCATGAGACCTGGTGAAGCAACTAACTCCCTGGATTTTCGATAAATTTGTTTGCTTGTATCAAACAAGGTGGTTCCAATAATGCGGTTCAAACGAAGAAGGCACTTAGCTAGAGTAGAATCGAATAAGAGAAAGATTGAAATCCTCCTCAGGGTCAACAGTGGACCTGAATGTCGTATACAAATATACCTTGATGGTAACCAATCAACAATAATATCAAAAAAATTTGGTGTACCGCAAGGTTCAGTCCTGGGACCGCTCCTTTTTGCAATGTATATTAGTGACTTCCATGAATTTAGTTTTGATAAAATACATCACTACGCCGATGATATTCAATTGTATAGTTCATTCAGCTTTAAAGATATTACACCTACTAATAAAAATATTAACAGAAACCTCAAAACTCTATATGATGTATCCTGTGCATATAATCTTACTATCAATCCAAAGAAATCCCAGGTCATATTTTTTGGTCCCAAAAGTAAAAGAAATATTGTGTGTGTTTCGATCCGTGTCAACAATAACATAATACCTTCTGTGAATGAATGTAAAAATCTGCGCTTGTGATTAGATACAGACATGAGATTCACGAAGCATGTAAGTCATCTGTGTAAAACGTCATTCAATGTATTAAGACAACTTTATCCAAGTAGACACCTTTTATTAAAAAGTCTGAAGTTGAATCTCTGTGAAACACTTATTTTTTCAAGCCTACTGCGATTGTATCTACGGACCCGCCTTACAACAATTAGATGTGATGCGACTCCAGCGAATACAAAATAGTTGTGTCAGATTTTCCTACGGTATCCGAAAGTATGATCACATAAGTCCGTCCTTTCGAGATTCTGGCTGGCTTTCACTCAAATATCTAAGAGCAATCCATTTGCTTAGTTTCACGCATATAATTCTTGTTTAGGGATATCTACCTTACTTACGTGAAAGACTAGTTGCACTATCACACAGTGGCACTTTTCGTAATAGGCATACTTTGCTCATTCCCAGGCATTCCACAGCAATATTTACTCGAAGTTTCTCCTACAATGCGGCAAAGTTGTACAATACCATCCCTACAGACTTTAAGGAAAGTTCATTGAGAAACTTTAAAAAAAGTTTGAAAGACATGTTTCTTACACGACAGTGATAGGGCACGACATATGCAAAAGATTTTGTCAATTTCTCATATATCCGAATATAATAAAAATACATTACCAATCGCGGTTGGGTTTAAAAGCAGCTTTCATAGCTGAACTCCGCCTATTCATCATTTCTTTGAATTTTATGAATTTTATTTGATTTGTACTTCTTATTTGATGAATAAAGACATATTATCATTATTATTATTATTAAATATAAATTCATTTAGAAACGAACTCATCATACTTTTTTTCAATACATTTTTTTTTATCAAGGGTCAGTTTTTTCCTCTTCCAAAATGTCAAGTCTCTTTTCTAGATTTTGTTTGAATAAGTGGTCCTGAAACCGAACCTTGCGTCACCCTTCAATCTCCATAGCTATGTGGAGTGTGGAAACTCTGGAGTGAAATGATTGAGAAGATAATTTGATTGTTTTGGAATGAAAAAATGTATTGTTTATGATATTTTTAGACCACATTCACTGTTCACACATATCTATGGAGAAGGCAAATCATAATAATCATAATAATTTGTGCTGTCGATTTCATTTCACATGCATAAATAATCGAACATTAAGTAGATGAAAAATAGTATATTTTGAAAACATATGACGAACATTGATTTCAGACTCAAAAAGTGAGTATAATATTTCTCCTTATGTTTTACGAAACATAGTCAAAGAAAACATTAAAATTGTAGTTATCATGTCAGAGTTGATACAGAATATTTCGGGAAGTAAATTAATTGGAAAATGTAGTCATTTCTTTCGTCTTTCAACACTTATTGCCATTATAACTAATTAACAAAAAGATAGTCCCAGCTCCAGGATATACAGCTGAATCACCCTCGTTTCAAAATTGTGAACAAGCAGGCGTTAAATCCACAATATTATATCTGTTTCTCTTCTCCGCATTCTTTAATAGGTTTGTAAAGTTCTCTTATCATCACATCTAGGAATTTGTTCCAGGCCTCCAATTCTTCCTGTTGCATGAAAGATAAGGTGTCAACTAGGGCCGTTTTGACGTCCTGAAATCATGAAATAGTGTGAAATTGGTGATTTATTCTATAGTTACATTAAATCGATAATGAGTACATTTACCAAAGACAAAAAATGCTTGATGGAAAAAGAACTCTATTGATATCTGTTGAGGAAGTATGAAAATAAAGCGGAACAGTGAAAGAAAACTAAGAATTTCAATACATTTTTACCAATTTTGCCCAAAAATGAACCAGTTCGTAGCAAAAAGTTATTTTACGAATAATTACAGAGACATCGTCATAAATGCGAACTGGATTTATTTGTTATTTTGTACTTAGTACCTGCATTAAACGATGAAAGGGTAATAAACAAAACTAATTTATTAATAACAAAACACACAGCATGTAGAAATCATAGTAAATGTTCAATATGTCTACCTTCAGACATTACGCATGCGTCTAGACGTCGCTGCATTGAGCCACGTATTCGCTCAAATATTCCTGGAGTCTCTCTGATTACCCTGCACGCATCGATGATGCGGTTTCTTAAGTCCTCTACATCGAGAACAAGAGTACGATAAACAAAATGCTGTAAATGGCCCCAAATAGAGAAATCGAGAGGATTGAGATCCGGGGATCGAGCAGGCTAGTTCTGTGGTCCTCCTCGACCTATCCACTGATTTGCATATGTTTCAGTTGAATGCTGACGTGCTACTTGACTATAATGGGCGGGAGCCCCATCATGCATAAAAACATATCCCTTCTGACGCCCAAAGGAACTTCCTCCAGCAGTACTGGATGCACTTCTCTTAAAAATTGAACGTATGCCTCACCTTTTAATCGAAGAGGTGGAAAATGAAGCCCAATTAAATCATCCTCAATAACTCCGAGCCACACGTTAAGAGAAAACTGTTCTTGATGGTTAGTTTCGACAAAAGCGTGAGGGTTTTCATCAGCATATATGTGGTAATTATGAAAATTAGTAATCTTGTCCGAGAAAAACTACATTCGTCTGTGAATTCTATCGTCTTCAGAAAGTCACAATTTCTTCTAATCATTTCCAATATCCAATTGCAAAATTCAAGACGGTTCGGAAAGTCTCGCGGTAACTGTGCCTGTAGTCGTTGCAGATGGTAAGGGTATAAGAGTTGTTCCTTTAAAATTCGAAATACCATCATATGATCAACATTTAGCTGGAAAGCAATCTTACTAGTACTGGTAGTAGGTTGTTCTTCAATCAAATTAAGTACTGCTTCCTCAAGCTGTGGTGTTTGTACTTCTCGATGGCGACCACAATCCTGCGTTTTGTCGAATGAACCATATTCTCGTAATCGTTGATGAAGTCGAGCAAATATTCAATATGAAGGATGCTGCCGTTGAGGATACATTTCAGCATATCTTCTAGAAGCTTCTAACCCATTCCCCTGCGACAGACCGTGAATGTAATGCATATCACCCATTTCCTCATTTGTGTATGCCATTTTAATAACAAGTGAATTATTAAAGTAACAAATTGAGAACAGAACAACAACACACAATTAGTATTAATTCAATTTCAAAAATTCACAAACTGACAGCGTCATACCAATTTAATTGTCACTATCGCTAATAGCGACCTACTAGATAGATTAGTTTCGTATTTTCGCATTTATGACGATGTATCTCTGTAGTTGTTCGTAAAATAATTTTTTGCTGCGAACTGGTTTATTTTGGGCAAAAAACCCAAGAGACATTTTTTGTTTAGAATGAAATGAATTTTTAAATGGTACACAAATAATAAGACAAAAAGTTACATTGGAAATACATTTTATGGGTTGCGTTTTCCACCCCTTACAACCATGGGGTAAACCAAATAAATTTCTGGCAAGTGTCTTTTTGGTATTAAAAAACGTCAGGTTAATTTCAATACTGTAACTTTTTTACACTTCCTAAACAACGCTGGAGGTGATCGTTTTCGTTACATTTACGATTTTTATAACAATGCATATTACTTAGTTCGAGACTACTGATGCTGTTTGATTCAAAGCATGGTTTCATTCTATAGTAGTTGATTTACGTGAGATTATTTCTCAACTTAGATCTACTCAGGTAATCATGATCAGAATTGTCTTCATCAGAGTATTGTCATAATATTATGCTCGAGTCTTGGGGTATATTGCGAATTTCACAAATGAAATGGTTTTTCAATTTCCGTTATTCTCAAAACTCGAGGGGTCGTAACGATATAAAGTAACTCTTGTTGAATTGTTCCTCATTAGCATTGGGAGAGTTTATAATTGATTCTTTAGTTAACAAATAATAAGACAAAAAGTTACATTGGAAATAAATTTTAGGGGTTGCGTTTCCCACCCCTTATAACCATGGAGTTAACCAAATAAATTTCTGGCTAAGTGTCTTTTTGGTAGTACAAAAGGTCAGATTAATTTCAATATTGTAACTTTTTTAGTGCTTATGAAAAAAATTGTTATACAAATTTTATGTACCTCCTTTAAGGGGCTGTATCTTAACAAGGGATGCTCCAATGAAATTTCTCTATATGAAATATCCTATTTTTTTTTCGATGAGGAATCACCTCCTCAAATGTTTTACACTTATTTAGTTACACCCTGTATATCCACGTTCATTAATGAATTGAACACATTTTATATCATTTCTGATCAAAATCTGAATTGTTTATATTATTTACCTTCAGAGCATCGATATCTACACCTCTCGAAGCATGCGCAATTCCTATTCTCTCAGCTAAACTTGAGAATACTGCAGAATCTTCCATTACACCTATCAGTGAACCAATGCTGTACATGACAGAATTACAGTGCGCCTGAAATTTCTTGTTACTTGGTAAGTCGTTCCTGGAAATGTTCCTGAAGGGAAAGGCTTGGTGATACTTCGGTTGGATTTCGAATAACCTGAAAAACAATACAAAAATTGATGATTATTTCAGATGATTACAGTGAAATGTTCATTTCTCTGAGTACCTGAAACGAGGTTACTGATAAGGTAATTGCTGAAAATGGTATTTGTCAATCTTTATGAATTTATACAAGTCGTCTTCAAACCTTTGTGAAACATTTTGGAGTACTCATTTCGCAACTTACGTTGAAGTTCATCTTCGCAGGTACTTAATATGCCTTTTCAAAAAATTTGAAGGACTCAGATCAGGTGACCAAGGAGGCCACTCAATTATATCCCTAAGTAATTCATATTGACGAAATAGTTATTTACATTCCACCTAGCCACTTTTATAATCTACTAACTATAATCTTCAAACCGTTTGGAGTACCTACGAGCACGAACCTCATTGTTCGTTCTAGCAGGTTTTTTTATATGCATCTTCAAAACATCAGGAAGACTCAGATCGGGTGTCCGACGAGGCCACCAAGTTGTATCCCTCCGTAATTCATTTCGACAAAATGGTTATTCATATTGCATCCAGTAACTTTTATAAACCTCTAATCCAATTTGATTTTATGACTATGATAGAATCTTTTGTTCTTTCTATTGTTCTGAATGTTAACATGAAAATAATGAAAATGTGTATCATTCCCGAAGTGATTTCAAAAATATAACAATTTTCGAGGTACAATTGGGATATCAGGCGTGAAATGAGTCTCTTAAATACAGATTCGTTACACAGAAACTGAAGCACTTTTTTAGACGTGCGTTTCGCTAACTGAGTTAGCATCTTCTGTTGATGACTAAAACAGTCTCAGTCATCTATCGGTGATGCTATTTTTTTAGCGATACACGTGGAAAGGTGACCATAGGTAATCATCCCATCCTAATCATTACCACCATACAGAAGAGAAGCTTTATGTGCAAAATGGATAATTTTATTTGTGATGATACGATTGGCCAAAGTATTATTCCTGGTATAACTTCATTTTGAATTCATTCCTTCAATTTTTTATTTTCACAAAGTTGATAGTATTCCATACGGCTTTTCTGAAACCATAATCACTATGACCACAAGGGTTCAGTTCCTGCTGATCCAACAGTCGAAATACTTGATTTTCGCTATACTGTGGGTGACAAACGTTGATCCTACATAGTCTTTTTGCGTGGCTTGGTTTCTCTGGTAATCCAATTGAGAGAAACCTCGCCATCATCGTAGTTAGTCAGGGAGCTCTGCTGTCTCTATCACTTTACAACTTATACGTGAGCGACCTCTCTAGGGTCAATCACGTAAAGGTTTCCCTTCACGCCGATAATAGGGCTCTTATCGCCTCTTCCATCGCCTCTTCGTGGGTTATGGGTCGTCTACATGCAACGTGCATCTGGAGTGAATCCAGATAAAACTCAGGTGATAGACTTGGGAAGACATAACGTTTTTCCTCACACAAGGGTAACAATCTCAGGCAGGGATATCGAATGGCAGACCCCAGTCAAGTATCTGGGTCTTCTGATAGATCGTCGGCCCACCTGGGTACACCACATTGAGAACATCAAGGATAGCCAGACTCTATCCTCTGGTTGATAGAAAGTCAAAGGTCAACCTTAGAAATGAGATTTCATTATACAATACTATGTTGAAGCCTGTCATTATGTATGCTTCAGGCGATTGGGGACACCTTGCTCTGACTTATCTTTCTATTCTGGAATGCGGAATGAATGCGGAATGAAGTCATCCTCAGAGATTTGAAGCTACTGACTGAACAGCGGTCTATCCAGTCGAGGAATCAGATAGTTTTCCAGTCAGAGGAAACTCATGAGAACGACCCTTCTTGATTCAGAAGGCCCTGTCGCTCAGTTGCAGAAAGGCCCAACGATGTATTGTTGAGGTAACCGGTATTGTGAATAGTTAAAGTTATCGGCGAACTCAAAGGTCAAAAAACCCATACAAAGGAATGATGACGCTGCGATATAGTCCACGTGGACTGAAGAATTGGCGGTTCGTATTAGGTAATTTTTACTAACCGAGATTCATGATTGGCTGAAGGGTCATAAAATTGAATTTGAAGTCGTATTACGGTGACGAATAGAGTGTGGGGATCAAATTCAAATTCAAATTCATTTATTTGTAATTGCAACAGCAGCCATCTATAAGATGGATATTCACGTCATATTTTACACTCACACACAAATTGACAATACACTTAGAAACCGCTAGTTAAAAATAAAAAATATAATATATAATGGTACATGTGAATGGTCGTTGTGACTGACTCATTCTAACGAGTCATTGAAGAATTCTCTAACCGAATAATATGCTTTTGCCAACATAATTTTTTTAATTGTTTGTTTCTACTTTCTGAAACTCATGTTCTGTATGCTGCTCGGTAGTTTGTTAAAAAACTTAGCTCCGACATATCCTGGACTTTTTTAAAATTTTGTTAATTTATGTTGAGTTACGCTCAATTCATTTGCGGTTCTTGTTGGATTATTATGAAAGGATGAGTTTCTTTTGAATGAATGTATGTTTTCTTTTACATAACTTAATGTTTTATAGATATATATGCATGGAAAAGTCAATATTCTGTTGTCAATAAATATAGTCTTGCAGCTATCTTCGGATTTCATACTGAACATAAGCCTCAGGATGCGTTTTTGGCAAACAAAAATTCTTTCAGCATTAGTGCAATCTCCCCATAGAATGACGTTGTATGTAAGGTGACAGTATACTAGTCAATAGTACATGTCCAATAGAACAGCTTTATCCATTGTTTTTTTTTAGTTTCAGTAAAGCAAAGAATCCAGAATTAATTTTTTTTTGTATGTGTTGAAGATGGTTGTCCCATGATATATATTGATCTAGGTGGAGTCCTAAGAATTTGATCGATTCTGAGTTCTGAATGACGGCAAGAGAAGAACTGAGACTGTTTCTTCTGCACTTAATTTGAATATATGCAGTTTTTCCAATGTTCACTATCAAATTATTACTATTGCACCAATTTGTGAAAGAGTTTATGACTTCATTTACAGTATTTTCCAGTTCCTTAAGGGTCTGTGCAGAGGCCACCACCGAAGAATCGTCTGCAAACATTGTGACTTGTCGATTCGTGATATGGTCGGGCATATCATTGACGAATATCAAGGAGAATAGTGGCCCCAACACTGACCCCTGTGGAACCCCGATATCCACAAAGTAGGTTTCAGAACATTCATTTTTTATTTGTACATAGGCCTTTCTTTCATTGAGGTATGACTTCATTACTTCAAGAATTTTTCTTCTCATTCCATTTCTTTCTAGTTTATCTAGAATAAAATTTATATGTAGGCTGTCAAATGCACACGAGAGATCAAAGAAAATGCCAGCAGCTAAATTGCCTGCATCAATATTATAATAGACACATTCCATGAATTCAATTGTTGCACTTTCCGTTAATCTCCTCGCGCGGAATCTACGTTGTCGAGGTGAGAGAATCTTTTTCCTTTCCAGAAAGTCGACAATTCTTTCATTATAGGTACGTTCAAAAATTTTAGAAATAACGTTTAATATTGTCGCCTGTCTATAGTTGTCCGGTGAAGTATCGCCGTTGTGTTGTCAATGTTCTGTTCAGGAATTGATCGCGATTTGAGAGTTGAAATTCCATATTGGGGCATTTATAATTAGGTACTTAAAATTTTTGTTATCTGTTTAAAATGTGGCGTTCTCGGACAAGTACTAAAAGTAATGACGAGTGTAATAACAACGCAGTCTTTTTCATGTGTAGTGATTCCAATAGCGATGGTGAACAATGCGAAAAAGAGATACCAATGAATAAGATTCGGATGCATTTGAATATTGAAACACAGAAAGTATGTTTCAATGTATATAAGAATCTACATCTCAAGTTTGGTTTCGAGGGAAACAAACTACTGCAAGCAACATCAGATTTGACCGAAATTCCTTTCTCAACTGAACGTATAATAGTCAAAACAAACCTTATGAACGCAAGATGCGATGTGATTTGGGATTACCAAAACCTTTAGATGTTCATTTAATAAAATCATTATTGAAAACAATAAACGACTGTTACAAAAGCAATGAGATTCTTACAACTGAAATCATTAGAGAGAAATTGAATACTTCCGGCCATAACCTGAGCTGCTGTGACAAAACTCTTCAGAATTGGATAGAGAAACTAGGATTCAGATTTAAAATAATAAACAATTGAGGAAAGCAGGAGAATAGCGGAATTGCGTGACAAATATTTTGAACAAATAACTCATTACAACAACGGCACATTTTCTATTTGGACGAAACTTGGTGTGACACGAAAGGGTAGACTGATGGTTCGAGAATGTGTACGCCTAACATACCTGCAAACAAAGGAATGCCACTAATCATTGTGCATTGCGGAGGAAGTAAAGGATGGGTTCTGAATTCTTTGAAATTATGTGGAAAAAAACTTGAGGACTGCAATGTTAACTATCATAAGAACATGGGAGCTAATATTTTCGAGGAATGGTTTGAAAACACATTGATCCCAAATTTGGATATGAATAGTGTAATAGTTCTTGACAACGCTTCCTATCATTCCCAACAGCTCATCAAAGTACCGAATAAAAAATCGAGGAAAGATGAAATACAACGTTTGTTAATGGATAACAATTTGTATTTTGAAAACCGACTACTTGAAGTTTTACAAACAAAAACACTTAAAAAATTGTATGCCCTTGAGAGTATTGCTGAAAAGTATGGACACACCATACTGAGACTTCCCCCCTATTTTCGTGTTTTCAGTCCCATCGAGTTGATATGGAGAAAATTGAAACAAAGCATCAGGCGTAAAAATAATTTTCCAAAATTCAATAAGAAGGTAATAGGGGTAGTTAAAGTATCTAATATTACCGAAGAAGACTGACAGAAAAGGATTGAAAGAGTAATTTTCGTTGAAAAAGACTATATGGAGATTGGACACTTCCATATGAATGGACTACTTTCCGAGTCATCTTTAAGGGGACTGTTGGAAAGTAGGTTGCACTATATCGTTTACTTGAACTATACGTAGAAGTGAACAGTTTGTTCGTCAATTACGCCAGTCAGAAGGGGGTGTACACGGACAGAACGGCATAGAGGTCATGGATCTTCATTCCGTAATCAAATACGGTCAGTTATGAACCATTCGTCCTCCTGACTGATCTCATTTGAAGAAATTTCAACCTGATTTACATGAAGACGACTAAGCTGGATCGTATTTTATGCGTTCGAAATTACGTGAACAACAACATGAGTACCAACTCATACACTGCGTCAACACATTGCCTTTGTTAAAGTATACCGCAGTAGTAGCTGAAACGTCAGTAGATGAAACGTCAGCTTTCATAAAATCCATAAACCTTTCATTATCTCGCGAACTAGTTCATAGAAAATTGTATAATTCTAACATCAAACGGAAGATGAAAGGATTCAGATCATTTCAATTCTACACAATTCAAATAAACCATAAACATAGATTTTCTCCAACTTAAGTGAAACTAATAATGGAAGTCTGTATTGCAAAATCTTCAACCCTCACTCTTGAAATACAATCAATGGAAAAAATGCAATGAAAGTGATTTCCCATGAAAACCTTTCTGATATACGTCAACTCTTGCTTGGACTCACCTCATGAAAAATTTAACCCCATTTCCAGTCGAGTCTTTCATTACCGTTTCCCATGAATTTTTCAGAAGATATTTGTCCCTAGAGGTGAGTCCTAGCTGCGGGTCTGGATCGTCAGTTCTTCCAGTGTTTCTATATCCCAATAAGCTCATTATCAGGCCCATTTTCGGCTGGTAGCTGGAAAAAATTAAAGGAGATAATTATGTGAGAAAGAATTATCATTGGAAATTGAAACTCGATGAAAATAGTGATGATATTGTCGTTTTCAGAGTGTTAGGAGTAATCAAATGATGTGGTTGTCATCCTGAATCGGCCCTCATAGACATATACAGGGTCAATCAATAAGTCATCTGGGTACATTGCTCTGAAGTGAATCAATATTTTGCTCTTATGATATATCACGTTAGAGGTGCCTGAAAAATTTTCAATATTTTTTTTTACACATTGGATATTTTAGTCGAGAGTAGTTAACCAACATTTCCATTCTTCAATCGAATATCTGATATGCATGTAGAATTGAAACCTTTGTTAGCATCATAAGGAGATGACTGAAACTGTATTTATGGCTATACTGATATTTTCATAAACACCGACGAAGCAGCCTTTCGTTGATGAGAGTCAATAAATACATTTTTAATATTACTAATTGCATTTAATTATTATTGTACCTACAGTCATTTACTATTTTTTACGATACCTCATCTTCACCTGTTCTCTACCCGTAATTATGACGTAAAAAAGTTACTTGGAATGGACCCTTTGTAATTATTCATAGACCGTATTTTTAATTTTTTGATATATCAACTGTCGCTGGCATCTGAAAAGTTATTGTCATGTATCCGTCTCCACAATTTCAAGTTTTCTTACTGATTCTATGGCAAGATTCTTAAGTACTTTGAGATACACTATAGACTTCTCTGTTCTATGTTCCTTGAAACGAGATGTTGCTCTACACTGAGTTTGACCAACATATTTTTTGTCACAATCCTCGAAGCTGCTTTGATGAAATCATTAACTGTTTTGGTTATTTTGTTTTTAGACTTGTCAAAAAGTTATTAGTTTGTGAGAACGCTTTTTTTTAAATGCCTGCGAATTATTTTTTTTACCTGGCACAGCGAAATGAAATGGGTATTTCGTGAAGGAAACAAAAGTTTGTTCGTCCTGTCTCCAGTCAAGACAAAATGAATCGATGTACAACAGAAAACTGAAGAGATCAAAATACCTGATAATCTCAGAACAAGTTGACAACTCTGTTGACTCACCCTGTATATGCCAATATTTTTTACTTCGCAGAGAACACGATTTCTTCTGCTTTTATTCAATATTGATCTATGAGGAATGGCAGTTTCACAATAAATGCACAATTCCTGCGAAATATTTTTATCGATTCAATCTCTTACCGCAAAATATAGAGTTCTAGAAAAGATAGCAAATGCGCTTGAATCGAATAGATTGCACAATACTGTTTGACACAAAACACTAACTTTTATTATGCTGTCGTAACCTCGAGAAGCACGTAAGCGTTTGCTACTGGCCAAATTCGTCGCTTAATTTATTTCAATTAACAATCATTATTTATCGGTAACTCAGATGGTTTGGAGATAATACTTGTGTAAGTCATCAGTTTCCAGATCTCGTTTTTGTTGACATAATAGGGAATCACTCAGGCAGTGGTGTATCTATGAAAGGGTTATCACAGTACTTAATATTTCAATTCTATTTTAAATAATTTCCTCTGAGTCCTCAGAAGCGTGTCCAAGTTTGATGGTTGTTTTTACATTTTCATTTCTTTATTGTTCGAAATCAGAAACCTTTCGAAGCGAGAACAAAATTATTTATATTGTTTGTACAGGCCCTTTTCTAGCTGATTCCACTGGATAACTAATGAGTGACTTTTTTGCTGGTATCTTTTTGGCAACACTGTTTTTGACAAATCAGGCTTGAATCGTGTCTTGTGTCATTGTCAAACTTGTTCAGTTTGGTCTATAATTCAATCATGAATCGACTTACGAATGAACAACGCTTGCAAAGTATTGAATTTTATTACCAAAATTCATGCTCGGTGAAGAAAGTGCATCGTGCACTTCTTCCAGTTTTTGGGTAGTTTCGTCGGCATACTGAGGGAACTATTCGGAAACTTGTGACTAAATTTCGAACCCAGTTTACATTATTGGACATTAAACCACCAACACGCATACGCAGAGTGAGGACCGAAGAAAATATTGCGGCTGTATCCGCCAGTGTTTGTGATGACCGTGAAATGTCGATTCGCCGCCGTTCGCAGCAATTGGGCCTCTGCAGCAATTTTTCGAAAGGATTTGGGTGTAAAACCTTATAAGATACAGCTGGTGCAAGAATTGAAGCCACACGACCTCCCACACTGTCTAAGATTTGGTGAATGGGCCCTGGCAAAGTTGGAGGAAGATCAAAATTTTTATCAAAAAATTGTTTTCAGGCTCATTTCTGGTTGAATAAATACGTTACCAAGTAGAATTGCCGCACCTGGAGTGGAGACTAGCCACAAGAATTGCAAGAGCTACCGATGCATCCCAGAAAAGTCACTGTTTGGTGTGGATTATGGATCTGTGGCATCATCGAGCCGTACTTCTTCAAACACGACAATGGCCGGAACGTTACTGTGAATGGCGAGCGCTACCGTGTGATGATTGACAACTTTTTGTTGCCCAAAATGAAAGAATTGGAGTTTCAACAAGAAGGTGCCAAATGCCACACGGCATGCCAAACAATGGCCCAATTAAGAGCCGCCTTCGGTGAACAGTTTATCTCACGTTTGGAACCCGACCATTGGCCGCCTAGATCGTGTGATTTAACGCCTTTGGATTATTTATTGTCGGGTTATGTTAAGCCTCATGTCTACGGGAATGAACCAGCAACGACTGACGCTCTGGAAGCCAATATTGAAGCATTTATACGTGAAATACTGATCGATATGTTAGAGAGAGGGTGCCAAAATTGGACCTTGTGCATGGACCATCTAAAGCGGAGCCGCGGACAACATTTGCATGGAAAAATATTCAAACATAAAGATTTCATCAATTTTTTCAAATTTTTTGAGTTGTTTTAAAAATCAAGTTCTATACCTCTTAAAAAATCACCCGTTAGAATGATCTCTTTTCAGATTGAGAATATCAATCAAAACTTATCGAATTTCGTTTTTTGACTCTACCGCCTCCTTATAAAAGTGGTGACATGTATGATGAATACTGTAATTTTCCGCGATATTTGGCGATATCACTAGTAATTTCATGGAGTTTGAATAAACAAATTGAATTGAAGGACAATCGCCATTCATAAACATTTACTTTGATACATGATTATAATCACAATGGAGGTTCTGAGAATTATGAAATTAATTTTACTATCCAAGAAACACTTCATTGTGAATTTTCATCAAGTATTTTTTTAAGGACGAAATACAAGCACTACAGAAAAATTCTCAAGGCACTTTGAGGCCGGTGTCTGTGCGGAAGTAGCGTTTCTCGTTGGATTTGACTCGCTGGAGATTATATACATTTGGAAAAACGTTCTCAAGAGTTTTATTTCATATAAATGCAGTGAAGTTCGAGGTGTACTGAGTTGAACTTCAAAACGATGGGCAGCCGCATATTTTTCATATGTACCGCACTTGGTGGAATAAAATAATAATAATAATGATAATCTTTATTTTTCTTTTTGATATGATTTAACACGTATAGAAATCGTCAGGCACATAGAAAATAGCATACGTAATAATAGTAAAAGTAAAATTAATACATGTTATTGAAATAAGACAGTAATTAGTCACGTTTATAATAAAATAGAAATATAAATAGAACTATATAACTTTTATTTATGTATACACGTATGCACAGATACACACACATATACATAATCTACATCGTTCAGGAATTTCTGTTGATAAAAAATCTTTTTAACAGAAATTTAAATTTTCTCAGGCACTCTGTTTCCCTAATCTCTTGTGGAAGATTATTAAAAAGTTTTGGTCCAAGCAGAGTTTTCTGTCACCTTGTACTTATAAAATGGAATATAATATTTATCTTCATTCTGTCCGGTATTAAAGCTGTGCATATTCACATTCAAAGTAGTCTTTTCTATTATTGATATGCTATGCTATGCTATGCTATGCATAAATGCATAGCTCTAAGATAAATAAATTTACTATTATTAAAAGTCTGAAGTGGGAAAAGATATTTCTACATTAATATGCACAAGGTATCCTAGTAATGAGCCGCAGAATACGATATGGGATCCTCCCAAAGGAGGATCCCATATCGTATTCTTGAAGCCACATGAGCATGATATAACATGAGCAATTGTTCACATGTGAGTACTTCTCTGAGCTGTCGAAACACAAAACAAAGAGAATTTAACTTTTCAATCAGATTATTACAGTGAGATTTCCAGTTTACAAAATCATCTTTGTGATGCCTAAAAATTTTGCTTTGTCAGTGTAACTTATTTTTTTATTACCAACACTAACTGTTATATTAAAAATATTCTTCTGAACGTGATGATACCTCATAATATGTGTTTTCCCAGTATTAAAGAAAAGTGAATTAGCGCTACACCGTGAAGTTATATTACTCAATGATCGCCCACACTCCTCAGCAATAATATCATCTGCTTTATTCAAGATCAGTATGGATGTATCATCCGTGTGAATAACAAAGTGTGCATTTTTAGCTGAAGTGTCAATTTCGTTAATATAAAAATAAGAACAGGATGGGCCCAAGTACTGAGCCTTGGGGAACTCCCATATTTATATCAAGACTGTTTGAGTCAGCCGTTCTAGACTGTTCGTCATTAGTCTTAATACTGACATATTATTGACGATTACTCTCAATAGACATTATCCAATCGAAAGAAACACTTCGGATGTAATAGGAATATAGTTTAGGAAATAGAATATCATGCCAACGCAGTAAAACGCCCTGCTGAAATCACAAAAGATTCCAACAGAGCATTCCCCGGCCTCCAAGAAATGAATAACCTTTTTGTAAAATGCTAAGGTGGCACTGTTAAACGACTTCATTTGGCAAAATCCATGTTGATTACTCTCAGTAAATTTCAACATTCGTTCCATAAAAGCATACTCAAAAATTTTTGAAAAGCTAGAAGGCAAGGTAACGGGTCTGTAATTTTCCATTAATAGTTTA